TCGGGCCCAAAAAACAAAAAGATATATTTTGTTTATTTAGATTTTTATTTTAGGGGATAGTTAAACATTTTGAAAACCACATCATATTCGTGCATTTAGTTAAAGGTACTGCCTTAGGGCATGCGTTGTAGGGTGCTAACACCTTCTCTACGCGTAACCGACTCCCGAACCCAGAATATGGTTTTCGTGGACCGTGTCTTATTATTTTATGGTTTTTCCGTAGTTTTCCATAATAAACTATGGTGGCGACTCCAAAATCTCTTTTCAAAACCCGTTCCTTTTTTGGATCGTCGTCCCGTCGCGATACCGGTCACGACAACAACTAAAGCAGAATCAAAACAAACAATAAAGATAAAGTCAATCAACTGGGTTGCCTCCTAGGTAGTGCTTGTTTAACGTCACGAGCCTGACCCAAAATCTACCAACACCCATCAGTAGGTGTAACAAACCTAGTATCCTTCAGTAGATACTTAACCACCTAGCATCCATCAGTAGATGTTATACCCAAACATTTCAACATAAATAATGTCCGAAGTTTATAAAATTACATCACCAAAAATAAAAAATAAAATAAGAATTAATGTTCTGAAACAACTAGGGTGCCTCCGAGAAAGCGCTCTTTTAACGTCATTAGCTTGACCCAATAAAGTTCAAGTTCCATCTTCCATGTTGTTGTTCATCTTTATGTCATCACACCAACTCATCAGCTGCTTCCGGTCCACCTCTTTGATTCTTCTTGAATGTGGAGATTCAATTTCTATCACTCCATCTTCTTTATAGTCTTTCACAACCCATAACTTGTTCTTGAATCTTACATGTTTACCAAGTTTGGGTTGTGCTTGCATCAAGTCATCATGAATTGTCCTTCCTTTGCCATCTTTTTCTTCTTCCCTGACCTAAAACACGAAACATTTTTTACCTGGGAAGTTCGACTTTGCATCTTTATGACTAGTCACGAGTACATCTTGATATGTAGCTTTATGACTAGTCTCTATCTACTGTTCTTCTTTAAAGACATCAACAATCACCCTTTCTTCTTGGTCTTGAAGCACCACTATTCCTTCATGTACATCAATGATGACCTTAGCCATCTTCATAAACGGTCTCCCAAGAATAATTGGCACCTTTTCATCCTCCATTTTTATCACCACAAAATCCACCAAGAATTGTAGTTTGCCTACACAAACCATAACATCTTCTGTTATACCATAAGGATTCATTGAAGATCCATCTGCTATTAGCAAAGTCATGTTTGTTGGCTTGATGTCAAATTCACCAATTTGCTCAAGTAAAGGTAAAGGCATTAAATTGACACTTGACCCTAAATCAAGTAGGGCTTTCTTTACCTTTTTCTTTCCTATGATGTAAGGAATGGTGAAACTTCCTGGATCTTTCACTTTTGGAGGGAATGATCTCTTCTTAGCAGCTTTGCACTCATGAATGTCTTCCTCTATATATATATTTTTTTTGGAGATTTGATTCATATTATTTACCTGAGCTGAAAATTGTTGCCATGCTTCATTCACAAGTAGATCAACATCCATTTGATTGAAGATATCTGTACAAAGCCCCTTTTGTCTCTCTTTCCTTATTCTCTCATAATCTTTTGGAAAAGGAAGTATATTTTCAATTTTTTTCTCTTTTCTCTCTTCTTTCTCTTTTCTCTCTTCTTCTCCTTTTCTCTCTTCTTTTCTCTCTACTCTCTCTTCTTCTTCTTCTCTTCTCTGTAACTCAACTTTTTCAACATTCACACTCACTAAAACTTTGCACTCTTCCTGAGGGTTAACTTCAGTATTAGCCCCAAAACTCTTATCAGACATATCTTCCAACTTATTAGATATTTGGCCAACTTGTATCTCTAAATTTCTAATAAACGCTTCAGTGCTCTTTTGTGTGAAAATAGTTACCTGCATAAATTGTTGAAGAGTTTCTTCCAACTTTGTATGTCTTTCATTGAGTGTAGACACTTGTTGCCATAGTGTTGGTTGTTGTTGTGGCCTATTAAATTGTCCTGTTTGCCTATCTTGTCCAGATTGTCCTTGACCTTGATCCATGCTTGGGTTAGGTTTCCACCCTTGGTTGAAATTACCTTGGCGGTATGGAAATTGATTGGCCATGAAATTTACATCTTCTAGGGCCTCCACTGGAAAAGAACATTGACCATTGATATGGTCACCTCCACATAGTTCACACATCTGTTGTTGAAATTGTGCAACAGTCTTTAATTCCTTTGGCAATTGAGTAAGTGTCTTTGTTAGATTCTCCAGCGGTTGAGTTATAATCTTATTCTAAGCAAGCAAGGCATCATTTGATTGCAATTGTAGTATACCTAATCATCAAATTAGTAACAGGAAAATACTTTAACCTTTTGACCCCATTTTAATTCATATGCATCTATTATTTGTTTGGGTGACTCCAACAAACCTATCTTTAAAGAGGTAGTGTGAACATTTATCAACTTTTCATAATTTGTTTTAGACTATAAATAAAATTTAAATATCTCATCTATAATACTATATAACTTAATATTTAATCTATACTTTCACAACATATGATTTTGTTCTTCTTAACTCACACAAAACATGTATTGATATTCATCTCACTTCCTAATTATACATTTATCCATGACAAACTTTGAATACATAAATATATAAATCATTTTTATTATTTAATGATAATAATACAACATTTAAAAATTTAAAGGCTAACTTATATTTATATGTTCTTTATAGACATGCAGTCACTTGATGAACTTTTGCTTGAACAAACTCAAGTGAGTGTACTTAATAAACAAGTTAATAATTGATAGATGCAAGCTTGAAACACTTCATAACATCAAAATGTTTGTTTTATGCTTGTAGAAAATATATTCTACTTCATTCTCTCAAGAAAATCTCGCAACACCTTGTTAACATAAATTTTTTTCTTGAAAAACATGTTAAAAGTTGCTTTCTATAAACAACTTCTTTGAAAAAAGGTAAGATGTTAACACTACATAGTTAATCAATTATGTTAGGTCATGCCCTTTACTAAAAAAGGAAGAGAAAAGTCACCTACCTTGGTTTGTGATGCTTTGTCACTCCAAAAGTGTTGTCAAAGAAGCGACACTGATTCAATGCTAGGTCAATAGTATAGTAATTATTGTGTCTTGAAGCCTCAAAGCATATGAAAGAAGAAGCAATAATAGATGATGTCCCTCGCGGTGACTCTTCCCTTCTCAAGCTATATTTATAAAAGATATTTTCAAAAAAAGGGGATGAATGACAACAACACAAGTCTTGCTACAAAATCGTGCACAAGATCTTAACATTTCAAGCCTTGTAATTATGAGAAGGAACAATGTTCATGTTCATTAGGGACCTAGAAGAATGATAACTTTTGTATACACTATAAAAATCTATATAACAATATAATATAAATCTTTCTCATATCTTATATTCATGTTATTTCATTACTCCTCTAAGAAATATTGTAAAGACATATTTTGAAAAACATTTTACATGATTTATCAGTCAAGAAGTTGTAACTCACTTTTATCATCAAATATAATTTCTTATGAAATCACTTAATAATATATTTGTTAAAAAAAATTATCTTCTAAGTTGATATTTTGCAAAAATTTCAAAAAATTCTAAAACATTGTATCATATTTTTATTTTGTTTCAACGTAAGAAAGATTAATTTATTTTTTTTATAGAAACCAAAATGATAATTTTTTATACTGAGGAGCACAATGAAAATTCAAAATTTGTTAAGAACAAAAACTTATTTTTATTTAATAGTTATTAAAATCTACTCTTTTGTTTAATACAAAAAACATAAATAGGTTGAATGAAAATAAATTATACATTAAAGATATTTGATGGGACATATTGAAATAAAGAGAGAAAACTGTGAAAAGGAATAAAAATAGATAAAAGTATAACATGTATTTCTAGATTCTGAACACAGATTATGCTATATATTTTTGTTCCGAATAAATTACAGTATTTTTTCAATAATACTTTTGGTTTGTCTTTATCTCGAAAATATAATATAATCCACGTTGTATAAATCCCTTTCAAAAACTTCTTAGAAAGGAAAATATTATGTTTTTAATCAAGGATAAACAATAGTAAAAAAATTCAAAGAAAGAAAAATCATTAATTCATCATTAATATTTGTTTATTTTTCTATCCAGATATCACTTTCTGTTTGCTCATTTTCAGGCATAACCTAAACAGAGATTGGACCTTTGTCAAAGAACTATGACAGACACGGTGGTCGATTCACGCAACAATGCGGCGGTGCAAGCCACCAACGACGACGCATCCGCCAGTAAATTGTAAGGGCACCTCAATTAATAATTAGGAATTGGACTCTTTTTCTGGCATTGCATCTCGGGTCAAGTAATTGTTGTTGTTTCCAAATCAACTATGATGTTCTTTTAAGCCTCTTTAATCCATTGATTTACTATTTGTGAGTTTCATTCTGCACCATTTTAGGGATTAGGGAATAACATTCTTCAGTTGTTGTTTCATGTGTTTGCTTTTTATTACAATACCTCTTTTATTATTTCCCCATTTTAGTAAATTGGGAATAGGGTTGTGTTTGGATAGACTTTCCGTAAACACTACTCATAGGAGAAAAAAAAAATGAATCGAGCTTCCTTTACAAGCTAAATAAACTTCTTCACCTCAATTTTTTGGAGAAGTTGGCGAGAGAACTTCAACAGAAGTTAAGTGTACAGGTTGATATCGCTTATGGGGGTAGCTCATTTCATTCTGCTGTCTTATTTTCTTTTCCTACATGTGCTTATGTACAATTTATCCAAACAGAGTCTATATCTAGAAGCTGCAGCGTCTGATGCGCTCAGGGTGAATTTATCCAAACAGTGCCTAGGTCTATCCAGAAACTGCAATGTCTGTTTACATGCAACATAGGGAATAGTTAGATAGTGGTTAGAAGTTATACCCCTTTCTGTAAGACTCTGTCCTAAGTATGAATCCACAAGCCATCTTACTTAAGTGGCTTTCTAAAGAAAATGAGATATTTCATTTTTTTTTTGTTTTGTGTATGGGAATTGCTTCATTCTTGTAATTGATGAGTTTGTCTTTTTAGGTCGTTTACTCTTTCTAAAATTTTAATGTATACTGATCTACCTTAGTTTTACCTTCTTTGGAGCTTTCTCTCAAAGATGGCTTGTCAAAGGGCGATGCAATAGAAAAATTGCATTTGCACCTGTGAAAAATGAATATTGCAGGGGGTTAAGTTACATGGTCCCAACGGCATAAGCATTAATGGAGACAAATCTTTGTCTCAGTATTGGAATTCGCTATGTTCATGGGAACTGCTTTGGGTTTTTGATGAAATATAACAATGTATTGCATGTAACAATGTTATATATTCATGACATGGTTTTGATGAAACACTGGATGGATAAATTAAATTTATTGGAGTGAGTCTGAAGTCTTATATTGTGAAACAAACACAATGAAACACATTTTCTCTGTTTATTTTACTTTCAAATGCTATCATGCCAGACCATTTGAATTCTTATTGGTAACAGCTTGGTTTAATTTTAAATAATATAATACTATGGTTTCCTACAGTATCATTTATTTATTGTTTTATAAATATTGTAGACTTGAAAGTTTAACATTTAGATTTTCTGGCCTGGTCAGACCGGGGACGAAACTGTAGAGTTTGAAATTATGTATGTAAGAAGTCAGTAATCTAGTTTTAAAAATGTGTTATAGAAAAACAATTGAAAATATATGTACCATGGGCTCCAAAATTGAAAACTGGGGTTAAATTTAAACGGACCTTGATCCATAATAGCAATATGGTTAGATCTATCCATCCTTTCCCTGTACTGTAAAAAGTCTGGTCCCACATCGCAAAACATTATAACAAATCATGTAACATTGGTTCCAATAATGTTTGTATTATTCTCACTCAATTTTAGTCATAAATTTCATCTTGTATTCAGTTGTCTTCTGAGTTCAGATGATTTATAGTTATTATTATGTAGTGAATGTTTGCTCACTACAAACTGGCTGTAGGTCATGTGTAAAAAAGAGTTACATGAAAGATGATTATGTTCATTTATTTGTGAGAAGACCCGTGAGGAGATCTCCAATTATTAATCGTGGTAGGATTTAGCTTCTTTAAGTAATTTACTTGTGTAAATACCTGTCCTTCTAGTTACTAGTTTATTAATTCATTTGAATTGTTTGAGTATGAAGGTTACTTTGCCCGTTGGGCTGCTATTAGGAAACTGCTCTATCAGTTTCTTGACATTGAGAAGAAGGCAGATGGAGATGCCCCAATAAAGAAGCAGATATTATCACTTGGAGCAGGCTTTGATACAACATATTTTCAGTTGCAGGTGCCTGGCTTTCCTTGTGATTTGTACTGGCATGCTGTACTTAAAAATTAATCTGGTTCTGACTTTTAAACTATAGGTTTACCTATCCTTTTGGTGCCTTGTTGGTTAAATTATGGTTTGGGTTGAACTACTATTGATCGAGTGCTTTTGCATTTAAATATTAGCGAATTTTGTTTATTTTGTGTTTTAAAGGACGTGAAAAACTTTAGGTTTATATTCTTGTTGGTGCTTTTGCACTAACTTGCTAGCTTTAAAGGGTGGGTTCCCAAGTGCTTATAATAGCTACCTTCTGCTTTTGCAATCTCAATGTATAAGACTGGGTGTTGCACTCTACTTACACAAGACATAGTTGTTATTTTTAACCTTAAGTCTCATGCACATATTTATTTTGGCTGAATATATTTTTTTTGTTCTCTTTTATGTGGAATGTAATTTCCTTTCAGGACTTTGTAGGTTAGTTATACCAGTGTATTTAGAGAAAAAGTAAATAGACGATGAATGATGAAAAGTACGTGTATGGATGAATAAGTAGTTAAGTCACTAATTACCTGTCAACAAGTTTTGAAGACCTTTGGACTTATCTTTTCCATATAATTTTAACATTAATTACTGAGTGGTAGAATATTCTAATACAAGAATATGTGTGCAATATTCTATAGTATATCCAGGCCTTGTGAATTCTCCATGTCCATCTCTTATTCTGTTAGGCCTTGGAGGGTTTATGAGAGGAGAAGGGTGAGGAATAAGACCTAACTGTTATCTAACAGAATAACAGTTAAGAGGGCGGGAACAGGGTCTATATAAGGACCCTGTATTTGTTTCTGAAAGTTAGTTAGTGACTTGTTTGTAGTTGACCGGTCTAAGGACCAGGTGAAGGAGGTTAAGCTCCTGTGAACATTGTATTCTTGATTTGTTGGTGTGAATGCAATTCCATTCTTTCTCATTCTATTTTGCTCCGTGTTGGTGTAAGTAAGTGAGAGTTAGAGAGCTCGTTAGGGATTTCATCTTGAATACCTAACATATTCTTTATGCTCTCTGTTTTTTCTAGTTTTGTTCTGATGGCTGCAAAAATGTTTTGGTCAGGGTTACTGAAGTGCTGCACATATCGTAGAATGATGCCATGCTTCACCTAGATTTAGTGTATGCTTATTTCAATTATGATATAGTAATATGTGTGAAAAAAATACTTTATTTGTAATATGTATAAGTATCTTAAAGCTTCTGTCTTTCCTATTATTTTAATAACATCGTTGTTTAGATTAGAGTTATTGTTGCGCGGTAGTGAACAAGAGTGTTTTCTTCTTTCACCCATGCGCATCCAGGACATAAATTTAGTTGTATTCAACTTCATTGGTTGCTTCAGCTGTTTTACTGTGGCCTCCATGTGACTCCGGTTGTGGATGGAAATTGTGAAACGTTGTAGTTTGTTTACTCATTATCATTAATTCCATTTTTTTCCTAGCAACTTGTTTGCTTAGCTTCTCTAAACTAGTGTTGTGCTAATGTACAGTCATGTCATAAATTAAAAATTGTTTCATGGCAGGACGAGGGGAAAGCACCAGATTTGTATGTTGAAGTGGATTTTAAGGAGGTAGAAACTTGAATACCTTTCAATTTTTTTTTCAATGCAACGCATATTTCTAGTTAATTTTGGGTTTTGAGTGGGATTGTTCACATGTATTTTGTCTAGAAACTCGATAACTATACTGTCTGTTTTGACTAAATTTATATCTAATTGTAAAATGAAGAGAGAGTGATTTATATATTTTTTTGAATTGTAAGTTTTTAACTGTCACTCTTGTATTTTGTAATCAAGGTAACTAGTAAAATGGCAGCTGTTTGTAAATTGAAGAGACAGTGGTTTATATAATTTTTAAATTGTAAGTTTTTGACTGTCACTATTGTATTTGTAATCTAGGTAACTAGTAAAAAGGCAGCTCTTATCGAGACTAACAGTCAATTGAAGAATAAACTTGGTGAAACAGCAACCATATCAAGAGGTAAGCCATGCTAAATATGATAATTTATATGGAAGGAACATCTTTGATAACTTTTATTCTCTTATTGTGGTTATGTCATTTTCTTTTGTGGTAGCACCTGGTGCTGAAGTGACAATATAAATTAAGAGGTATAAAATTCACACCCTTTAAAGTCTTCAAACCCTAGACATTTAATCTCTCTATTCTTGTATGTCCATTTGGACTCACCAGTTCTTTAAACAAACAAAGGAAAGGATAATGCATAATATGACACTAAGAGAACAAACAAAGGAAAGGATAATGCATAATATGACACTAAGAGTGTTGATGACAGGGATAGTTTAGTTTCTTAAAGAGGGAATGGGACATTTTAAATTCTAAAAGCTTTTTATTTAATGTTTGTTCATTATAATTGAAAATGCCTAAGTGAATTATCTGCAAGGAGAGATGGAGTTGGGATCTAGAGACTAGACCCATAAAGTAATTTGTCAGATTAAATAATATAAAGATTGAGAAAATAATAAAGTCTATGGCCCTTTAAATCTCTATGTTAAAATTGCAATAAAAAAGTATGCATGTGTGAACAAAGAGTTCCAATTCAGAAGGTCGAGGAACTTTGATTCGGCTACCAAGCTTAATCTTAGAACTACAAAGTAGAAACATCTAACAACTGCCTCATCATATCTGAGGATATAATCAACATAGTTTTTTCGTTTTGATTTTTGGTAACATCAATACTGAAAGTTAAAATTCATGATTACTTCTAATTGGATCTGATGCATGCATGTCTCATTCCCTGCTAGAGAAAGGAGAAGTGGTCAGTGCTCAATATAAACTAGTCCCTGCAGATTTGCGTGATGTAAAACAATTAAATGATATTATATCTGTTGCTGCTATGGATCCAAGGTATGTATTGGGATTCAGCTTCGTCTCTGCCTCTCCATCTGTACAGTTGTGAGATTCTGCTAGTATTTCAATATAATTTATAATTTGTTTGAAGGCATCAGCCCCTTTGAAAATAAGAAAAGGTCCTTAGAATCTGAAAAGCTTAAATAAAAAGGGTTATGAAGAGTATGTATTGTTGATAAAATGTCCAGTTGCTTTCTTTTTCTTCTCTAATGAATGTCTCTGTTATTTTTATAAAAGACAATTCATCTGAATTTAATAATTGGAGAGGAATATGTAGCTTATCATACAACTTTGTGACATTTCTAAATGCCTTTGTCATTGATATTGGTAAACAAATTTTTAATTTCCGAAAACGGAGTCAAAAACTTGTTAATACATCAGCAAGTGTATCGAATCGTATCAAGTAATAATAAATGGTAAGACCACGTATCGTTTCCCAAGAGACTCACGACACTAAATAGTTATGTGATTACTCAACTAATTAAGACTCTAAAGAACAAATTTTGGGGGTTTTTGAATGCAAATGCAATAAAATAAAAATGAATGCAATTTGATCAATTGACGCTTATGAGAAATAGAGAAGATTGGGAGAAATATCCCTTGTGTCTTTTGCATACTCATAGGGTAGTTTATTTATAATGTAAGATATGGGCCAATGCCCTTAATATAGAATGGGTTGAGCCAAATTAACAAAAACACATCTTAATATCTAACACTCCTCCTCAAGCTGGAGCATATAAATCATATGTTCCAAGCTTGTTACAAAGATAATCAATTCTATGTCCTCGTAAGGACTTAGTGAATATGTCTGCCAACTGGTTGCTTGATTTAACAAACTCAGTCTTGATATCTCCGGATATGATTTTTTCTCGAATAAAATGACAATCAACTTCAATGTATTTGGTTCTCTCATGGAAGACAGGGTTAGAGCTAATATGGAGAGCAGCTTGATTATCACATATAAGTGTCATGTGAGTGACATCTCCAAATTTCAATTCACTAAGTAATTGTTTAAGTCACACAAGCTCACAAGTAGCTGATGCCATAACTTTATATTCTGCTTCTGCGCTAGACCTTGCCACAACACTTTGCTTCTTACTTTTCCAAGATATCAGGTTGCCACCAATAGAAACACAATATCCAGAAATAGACCTCCTATCAGAAGGGGAACCAGCCCAATCAGCATCTGAATAGCAAACGATTTTTGTATCGTTGTTAGGACCATATAGCAAACCTTTTCCAGATGATCCTTTAATATACTTCAGTATGCGAACAACTGCATCCCAATGGTCTTCACATGGGGAGTTTAGGAATTGACTCACCACGCTAACTGCGAAGGAAATGTCAGGACGTGTAACAATAAGATAGTTTAATTTACCAACTAATCTTCTGTACCGTTCAGGATCTGAGAAAAGCTCCCCCTGATTTGGTAGGAGTTTGATGTTAGGATCCATAGGTGTCTCAACAGATTTAGAGTTCATTAACCATGTTTCCTCCAAGATGTCTAACGCATACTTCCTCTGAGATTTGACAATACCAGTGTTGGATTGTGCTACTTCAATACCCAAAAAGTACCGGAGTTTGCCAAGATCTTTGGTTTGAAAATGATGACAAAGGTGTTGTTTCATCTGAGAGATGCCAAGATAGTTGCTTCCTGTGAGAACAATATCATCGACATACACTATTAAGTAGATACATC